TTAGTAACTGAGTATGATTTTGTTCAATTAGCGGTTCGCATTCTACAACAAATGAAATAAGTTCACCAAAACGAGGTCGCAACATAACTTCTACGTATTCGCTAATTTTCCTTTGCTGTAACTCCCAAAATGCAGATTTCTCTTTAGAATCACAAGTAACCCGTTCCTGAAAAGCCTTTCTGTAGTAGTTGTTCAGATGCAACTGTAAAACTTTGAAAAACCTGCCAACCTCCATTATACTTATTATGAGATCATAGTTGTTGATTATGCAAACCAATTTGTCAATTTCGTCAGGAAATAATCCGGTGAATTTAACGAGTAGCTGCTCCAATTCTGCTTGTTGTCGACTTATATATTTCTAAAAATTAAATTCAGTAAATATTAATTTATTAAATAACTTATAGTTTTCATTTGCGACCAAAAAAAAATTTCAAACTATGCTAAATCTTATACATGTTGATTACAATGTGACAGTGATTGAATTGAGTAATTCATACTAAGCACATTCGAGTAAGAAAGTCAAAAATTTATGAGCACATGAAGAATTTGAGCTAAGATTACTTGTAGCTTTGCATTCACATCCTTACCAGCTGCCTGCCCACAAACTAACAAAGCACAAGTGAATTCGGCATAACGTCTAACAATCTAAAATGACGTGCACTGAAAAGTATGTTTCAAACCTTAAAATGGCTTAAAAAGTCTCTGCAGAGTCACCAGTTTACCTTATGCGGCTTCTCTACCATAAAAAAAATCTTTAAAAAACTCATCAAGAACTTATTCTTACATGATGCGGCCTGGTATCAGGTTCTGGAACCAACTTTTTCACATCAATCGCCCTAACACTATCATTATGCAACTTCATTACTGTATCCAGGCGATGCCACAATGTTCTTGTAAGTGTCTCCCAGTAACTAATAAAAGTAATACATATTTCATTACATTACAGTCAAAAACTACAATAAAAATACGCATAAATTAAAGAAAGCTCTTACCCGTCTAGGAAAGGAACCCCGCGTTCGACCATAAGTTGTGAATACTTGGAACACAGGCAAATGCAGAGGAACAAAGAAATTGCATCGTAGTTACCCGAAATGTGCTCTTCACACGTTTTCTGAAAAAAAAGTGAAACAACTTAAATATCAGATGAATATCAATTTTTAATTCTTAAATCATAATTTAAAAAAATGCGATAAGAAGTATCGATATGTAACTAACCAAAAGACTATTTAAAGAACGTGTCATAATCTGGCTAAATAGTCCTACAGCTGTCTGACCAGTAACCATAAAAAAGTCAGAGATAAACAAATATTCGTGAGAAAGATGGTCCACGAAAGCATACTGCAAGCTGCGAAACAGAACTTCAAACTGGAACTAAAAAGAAAAGTTTTCAAATAGTATGGTAGATTCGAGCCAGATAAGATAAGTCCACTAAAAAAAATATAAAGAAAGCGAGGCCTGGCACGATTACCCTCTCGTTTGACTGCTGTGAAGTATGAGGAACAATCAGTGGCGCAGTTAGCTCTTCAGACAAAAGAGAATCCCGAGAACCCAATGAGAAGACTGTTGCCCTACTCCGAACCTTAAATTTATTGAAAAAGGTTATGATGAAACTTTTCTTACTTATAACCCAAAGCGATAAAACTTACTTGTAACTTTGATGAAAAAAAGCCAGCATTTTTTACGGTATCTTCAGCCCCTAAGAGATCATCTTTTGTTGCTGCGTCGTTAAGCTTAAAAGAACTATGTTTGAAAAAAGTCTACAAAATTTTCAAACGGGTATACTTTCAAATCAAATAAAGTTAGAAACCTGAAGCTTGAACAGACGAGAAGCATACGTCCGGAAATAAGTGTAGTACATTTTGCTGAGTGTATCAACATACTCGTCGCGAATCTGGGATTGGATTATACATATTTTTGACAAAAAAATTTCGCAAAAAACCGCCAAACAAAAAGATATTTTTTTAATAATACTTAAAACCAAATAAGGAAAGGTAGTCACTTCTTTAGCTACTTGGCGATCATTTGCCAGTAAGAACTCGTAGAAGAACCTAAAAGCAATTTGCCAAAGACAATGAAACCTTGGAGCTAAATTGTTATGCATAAGTTAAGCACGTGTGATATCTTTATTGCCCTAAAATTATAAAACAACTCAACTTAAATCCTGTGAAAAACCACACCTGTTTTTAAGCAGCGCACCCTGAGACATTAAGTAATTAGTAAGAGGCTTCTTGAAAGAATTTATTTTAAGAATCAACCATTCTCGAATCTTCGCCATTGCCTAAAACCATAACTAAAATAAAAACGAAAACCTACAGAAAAATTGCAGCCGTTTTTCTACTTACTTTAAACTTCAGGTTTTCAATTACGTCCTGAACGTCCGCTACAGCCTTGGCATCCTTGAATTCCTGAGCTTTTAAAAACTGCAATTTGTGCTGCAGCTCGTGCAGCTGTTCAATAAAAACGGAATCGCCTACTTCTCTTTCCAAAATCGCGCTTAAAACAAAAAAAAAACACAATGTAAATACAAATAACCTCGA